TTTTCAATTAAAATAGCTGACAGTTTGGCTAGTTTATAAACTACCCAGCTACTTAATAAACTATCCATGTTTACATATTAGCCGTAACATATTAGCCGTAACATATACGTATGTATTTTATACATTAACATGTTTGGTCTGGGCATGTGACGGCCGAGGACTTTGTGCATAGAGTATAGACTTTGTTGTCCTATTTTGTTAACGTAAATTATCCGAAACAAACTCACAAATATTAAATTTTTGAAAATGTAAACAAAACATAGAAAAAGAATTTAAAAAGTTAGGTTATGGTTATGCAGTAGTTCCACATTTAACTAAGTAGTAGTTTAATTGACTTTACCCCTTCGATCTTAGCGCCACCTAGCGGCTTGGCACGTTAAGGAAGCCACCTCGAAGCTTAAAGTTGCAAGACCTGTATATAAGACCGTGCCCGCGGCAAAACTTGACAGCTGCTGTCACCAAAAATTGCAATTTATATTTTAATTGTTAACTGTTACTCATGAAATAGTCTTGTCAAATACCATTCGGGATCAAATTTTTCCTGTGAAAAAAATCGAAAAAACACAATGCTAAGTAATATTTTTTAACAAAATGCATTCGTGCAGGTGCAAAAATCCTCCTCTTCGACTCGGATTTTTGTTGCCACCAGCACTCATGCTTTTTGTTAAAATATTACTTAGCAACGTGTTTTTTCGATTTTTTTCGGAAAAATTAGATGCCCTTATGATATTACTTACGATAAAACTACTATTTAAGTGAAAAAACTACTCGTTTACCAATTGGTTGCTATACTAAAAATAATTGTCACTGTTGACGTTTTTAATTTTAAAATTAAAATGTTAATATGCGTTTTCAAAAAAATCATACAGAAATTAAATCAGCAGTTAAAAATATTCGTGAAATAGTCTTGCCGAATACCACTCGTGATAAAATTTTCCCTGAAAAAATTTTTGATTTTTATTTACTCAAGATTTTTCCTTGGAAATTTAACATAAAAAAATTAACTTAAAATTTAATTTAAAATTTAACTTAAAAATTAATGCCACTTGCGAAATTTTCAAGAAAAAAACATTCCTATAAAGATCAAAAACTTTATTGGTAAAATTTTACCACTAGTGGTATTATATGAGCCATTCCACGCGTAACGGATACGACAGTTGCCGTGTTTTTATTTACAAAATAATATTGTTCTATTATATTACCAATGTCAAATTTTTATAAATAGTTCTAAACTAAAGCTGTTTAACAAGGTTTTTATTTGGCAAAATTAGGTATCGTGGTTGACTGTTTAATTCCTTAAAAACTAATAATTTAAAGCGTAACGGACGGGACTTCGTAATAGTCCCGTCCGTTACGCTTTAAATTATTAATTTTTAAGGAATTAAACAGTCAATCACGATACCTAATTTTGCCAAATAAAAACCTTGTTAAACAGCTTTAGTTTAGAACTATTTATAAAAATTTGACATTGGTAATATAATAGAACAATATTATTTTGTAAATAAAAACACGGCAACTGTCGTATCCGTTACGCGTGAAATGGCTCATATACGATTATTTTTTTTACAGTTCTCTGTATTGTTGGGACATTGTTGTTAAGGGAACCTACAGCGAATTACAGCGATAATTCGATAATTTTTTCATGTTGATTTTAATTGTTTCGTCGCTAAGTTTATTAATTAACATAATATGTTATTATATATACAGGGTGTCCGGGAAAAGGAGGTCAATCCGTTAACCATATATTCTTTGAGTTAAAACAATAAGACTTTCATAATACCATTTTTCAATTTAGAGCTTCATGTTCGATATACAGGGCGACAAAGTTTGAAATTTAAAACTGATTTTTTTTAATAATTCAAGTAATTGATAAGATATTAAGTTTAAATTCGGTACACTACTTCAACATAAATAGTTACATTTTTTGAGACCAACAAAACAAAAAACAATTGTCAAATAATCAAAATAGGGGGGTCCAGTACTCACTGACTCCCCCTATTTTTTAGTACGTGCGCCAATGACTTCCAAACGGTATTTTTTCAGGTAATCATTTATTGTTGAAAATTTTTTGTCTCTTATAAAATTTTGATAAAATAATTTGTTTTAGAGATAATTTGTAAAGTATGGGTCAATCCATATCAAATTTTTGAAATTTAATTTTTTTTTGATATATCATAAAAAGGTCTCTAATAGGCCTTTAAAATAAGCCATCACTCACCTTTCTACTTTTAATAGTTTACGAGATATCCCTATTTTTGTAAGTACCCAAATTTATCGGAATTTTTTGATTTTCAAAAATCAATAAAACAAAAACCACCCATCGAAAAAAATTCATATATGGGATTTTTGAGTTTTTTAGTGAGGTAAACAAATTTACCAAAAATTTTCAAAATCGAAGATGGTGGCGGAAGAACCTTTGGTTGATTTGATATGGACTGACCCATACTTTACAAATTATCTCTAAAACAAATCATTTTATCAAAATTTTATAAGAGAAAAAAAATTTTCAACAATAAATGATTACCTGAAAAAATACCGTTTGGAAATCATTGGCGCACGTACTAAAAAATAGGGGGAGTCAGTAAGTACTGGACCCCCCTATTTTGATTATTTGACAATTGTTTTTTGTTTTGTTGGTCTCAAAAAATGTAACTATTTATGTTGAAGTAGTGTACCGAATTTGAACTTAATATCTTATCAATTACTCGAATTATTAAAAAAAATCAGTTTTAAATTTCTTTGTCGCCCTGTATATCGAACATGAAGCTCTAAATTGAAAAATGGTATTATGAAAGTTTTAACTCAAAGAATATATGGTTAACGGATTGACTTCCTTTTTCCGGACACCCTGTATATATATATTATGTCAAAATATTGATTTGATGTTTAAGTGAATATCGTGAATTTCATTCCAAAATGAGTCGCTTTGGGGCTGTACAGTTACAAGATATCGACCAGGCGGTGAAGGATAATCGGCCAATTAATACCACGAAATCCATATGGCGAGAATTTGAAGAGTTTTGTAAATAATTAAAAAATTACCAAATTCTGGAAAACACGTCTGAAGGTGAATTGGCTAAAATATTACTGGATTGGGCATTTAATATGAAAAAAATAAACGGTACAGACTATAAAGAAGGACTAATTAAGACAATGTGGAATGTTACCGCAAAATTGCTACAGGAAGAATTGTACAAAGAGTTTTGAAGATATAGCTTTTAAAATAATCTTATGAATACCATTCGAGCTTTAAATTAAAATCGTTTAATTGCCTCTTTATTCCTGCATAGTGACGTCGAATCGTGTCAATTTGACAATGTAATCCCTCCAGCACTGCGGGCTGTCGGGATTTCAATTGTTGTCAAATTGACACTCTTCTCCCGTCACTATGCAACAACAAATCGGAAATTAACCGATAAATTTAAAGCTCTTGTGGTTTTATAGCCGACTTTTTCCCTCGTCTTAATTTCCACCAATTACAAACGCGCAATTTTGAATTACAAATGGTTTCTAGGTGAAAAAACTGTGTGGCAGCACCTGTCAGCAGTTTTTTCAAGTTTACCCGCGGAAAAACTTGACAGCTGTTGTCACCAAAAATTGCAATTTATATTTTAATTGTTAACTGTTACTCATGAAATAGTCTTGTCAAATACCATTCGGGCATCTAATTTTTCCTGTGAAAAAAATCGAAAAAACACAATGCTAAGTAATATTTTTTAACAAAATGCATTCGTGCAGGTGCAAAAATCCTCCTCTTCGACTCGGATTTTTGTTGCCAACAGCACTCATGCTTTTTGTTAAAATATTACTTAGCAACGTGATTTTTCGATTTTTTTCGGAAAAATTAGATGCCCTTATGATATTACTTACGATAAAACTACTATTTAAGTGACTATTTCCCTCGTCTTAATTTCCACCAATCACAAACGCGCAATTTTCAATTATAAATGGTTTCTAGGTGAAAAAACTGTGTGACAGCACCTGTCAGCAGTTTTTTCGAGTTTACCCGCGGCAAAACTTGACAGCTGCTGTCACAAAAAATTGCAATTTATATTTTAATTGTTAACCTGTTGTTTTTCCTGAGAAAAAAATCGAAAAAACACAATGCTAAGTAATATTTTTTTAACAAAATGCATTCGTGCAGGTGCAAAAATCCTCCTCTTCGACTCGGATTTTTGTTGCCAACAGCACTCATGCTTTTTGTTAAAATATTACTTAGCAACGTGTTTTTTCGATTCTTTTCGGAAAAATTAAATGCCCTTATGATATTACTTACGAAAAAACCACTCGTTTGTACGAGTTGCATAGCAACCAATTGGTTGCTATGGGAAAGATAATTGTCAATGTTGACGTTTCTAATTTTAAAATAAAAATGTCAAAAAATATGCGTTTTGGTCAAAAAAATCATACAGAAATTGAATCGGCAGTTATATCTAATTTAAAAAAAATATTCGTGAAATAGTCTTACCGAATACCACTCGTGATAAAATTTGTCCTGAAAACATTTTTGATTTTTATTTACTTACTCAGGATTTTTCCTTGAAAATTTTGCTCGTGGCATTAATGCCACTTTCCAAGAAAAAAAATTCTTATAAAAATAAAAAATGTTATAGGTAAAATTGTACTAATAGTGGTATTATATACGATAAAAACAACGAGTAATTCTGAGAGCACAGAAAATACAGACATTTAACAATACTGGGAAATATGATGTTCCTCTTTAATACTAAAATGTCAAAACATTCCTATGAAAAAATATATAAAACTTTTAAGAAGTGGTTTGAAAAGTGTAAGGGAAATAACAAAACCTACCGATCTATAAATAGATACGGTAAATCATTCATGCTGATCATACAAAAAAGTTTTATAAATATATTTATAGTTTTTTTAAATAAAATAAATTAAGATAAATAAAAATGTACATTTTTAAATCCTACTAGTAATTATAATAAATTTGTGATTTTTTTACAAAAATGTAAAACATTCTTATAAAAACTTACCTGTTAACTTGCTTTTGGTTTAAATGTGATTCTGATTTCCATGAATTGGGCCGTAGCTGCAACAAATTAGTAAAAATATATTAAAAGTTTTAATTTAAAACCGTTATTTCGTACTGTAATTAGGTAAATTTAAATAAATATTATAAATAAATTATTTACTTTTATTTTGATTTTATAATTTATCTGCTATAGGTACCTACAACACATATATGTACAGATGTAACAGATGATAAAATGGGTTAAACTACTGTATATTCATACAGGGTATTTTTATATATTTTAGACAGACAAGCTATTACCAAAGTTAAAGTTAAAATTGGATTGAAACAAATAAATAGATAATAATAAAATAAATAAAACATTGTTTTGCATTCTCTTTGGTTTAATTTTTAACTGATAATAAAATAATTTATAAAGGGCATCGTAAAATAATTATTATAATGCTTTAACATAAAAATGTAAAACCCATGCAAGCACTGGAAAGTTAAAAAAAAACGCCGAGACACGTAAAGTTTTATATCCAAAACTTTATGTGTCTGGGCGTTTTCTTAAAAACCTTTCACTTTCAGAAAAATTTAGGGTGGGAATTTTTAAAATGAGCACCCTGTATATATATATATATATATATATATATATATATTATATAAATAAAAAAGTAACATTTACATAACTGAATAAACCCGCAAGTTTTTCTAAATATTTAACATTCACCGTTGCAAGTTGTTTCTAATACAAAGTTTGTATAAGAGACTTTCTTGGCAGTGGTGGAGTAGTCTTAAAACTTGTGTTTTATTTGTTTGCCGCTTTTTAATGAACTTTGCGCGGAAACTTAAGCTTCAAAATTAAATTAACCTTATAAAAGTTTAAATTTTATTCTTAAAACTATTATAAAAAATTCATACCTATTACAAAGAGCATATTAAATACTATTAATAAAGGGTTTTTCATTAAGAGCGACGCATTTTGTTTTTTCAATTAAAAAAAAATGTGGATTAATTATGGAAATGATTTTTATTTATGAAATACGACATCGTTCAAATATCAGCCGCGGAAGCGCTGGCACTAGTGAATACGCTGGACTCAATTTTACATGACTGGAGCACACAAAACGGCCGAAATACCAGAAATTTCGCTCTTCTAACGTTGCTGGCTTGTTGGCATAGACCAGCGATTTAATGAAACCCCGAAAATTGGCGTAAGCTCAAGCAACGTAGTCGCGATAGAACGTGAAATTTGATAAACAGTTGAATAATTTACATTTTTTTAAGCGTGTATCTCTCCATGATTAAATGGCATAGACTGACGTTTCAAAATGTCAAAGAGTTGCTAAGCCCACTACACTGGAAAAATTTCCAAAACAAAATGCATCGAGAAACCCTGTATTATTAGTTCTATAGGGTATACTGTGGTATTATTAGGGTAATTTGTTCATCACAAGACGGATTTGTCTCATAGAATAAAGATTTTCAAGCGTATGGTGGTTCCTAATGAGCCTTTTGACTTAAGGTAACGAAATTAAAAATATTCAGGTTATTAATTTTTTATTCTATTTTTATAAAGCTAAAAGTAATAGTAATATTAATAATAAGAATTTAACTTCGGCAGCAGTTCCTGATCGCAAATATTTAAAATGGACAAATAGCTTGAGAAGCATAAATTAACATAAAATTGTTATTTTTGTTACAAGTACTAAAACTAAGTTTTCTAGGACGAATCATTGTTGTTTCTGAGCGAGGGGCGATCGCCGAGTCCGGAATAGCAGATGAGTCCTGAAAAACTTCATTTACAAACACTATTTTTTGTCAAACGCTTTTTACAATTCTTCAGAACGCTTAAATATGCAAATTTTCCATAATGTTCGAAAAGTTGGCTTAAAAATAATTGATATTATAGCAACAAGTTTGTTGATTTGATAATTTTGTAATGTCATTCGAAATTTCTTAGAAAGTCACATAAATTTTAAAATGTTCCAAAGTCCCGAATATATTGCTAATAACTAAGGCCCAAGAAATCGTTTTGGATTTACTTCCTGTGAAGTCTCGTATAAAGAATATGATGCTTTTATTGTTGTAAATGAAAATGTATTGCTAATATTACACGAAAAAGTAAGTAAACATTCAAAAACCTAAATACTTAGTTACGCAGGATGTGTTAAGGAAAATATTCATATCGACAAATTTACAAGATTTATTGCTGAATTTAGACATTCTAATGAATTTTGGAATAGTCCGTAAAGGTTGTCATGATGACTTTTAGGGACTAGGCCGAAAAAGAAGCATTTTACGGACTTAAATGAGTACGTAAAATAGCTATTTTTGGGAGCGTATGACAAAAAGATATTTATTCCAACATTTTAAATGTATAAAAATTGTTAGAATTAAAATATAAATATAAATATAATATAATATAATATAAATATAAAATATTTTAAAACCACCTAGTATCAGAATAGTAAATTATGTCTTAGGGAGGAGAAGTGAGTCTTTTTTTGCTGAGCTCAAAAGATTAGCCAAGGCGCTTTCCGCCGAGGCAAAGCAATTGACTGAAGCACAATAAGACCTTCTAATCAGAATTACATTTACTATTTTATCTTCTAACAAAAACTAAAAAACATAATTTAAAATGAATGACAGTCTATCAATGACATATGCTTTCCCCGAAGGCATAATATGAATGAAATAGGGTAAAACACTACTTTTTATCGATTAACTGCAGACATGTCTACGCTTATGTATTTTATTATTGTACTAGGATAATAAAGTTATTCTTGTACTAATACAGGATTATTTGATTTCAAGAAAAAAAATTATTTAAAAGAAAATCTATCTATTGTTGTCGCGGTGAATGTTTTAAATTGCGTCACAAAATTCTGAACCAAGCACAGATATTACAATTATTGTTGTTTTTTTTTACGTATATAATCCAAGGAACCGCTAGGTTAACCGTATGTCGAGAAATCTGTTTTTGACATTCGACATTGATGATGCAATTTGAAACATTCGCCGCGACGACTATATTACTTTCCGAAAATTAATGCTGCAAATTGAAAGAGAGATATTTTTCTTACAAATCCGTTCCGGAATCATTGTCTTTTTGTTATTTATTATTTATTGGTCGTGTATGTTGTTGGGTTTCTTCTAAAACTTTTCATAAAGAATTTGTCAAGATTTAGTTTCCTAAATGTGGCAACTTTGATTCTTCTAATTTTAAAAGAAACATGAATAATAAAGAACGTGCTTCCTTAACCCATGTAACCAAGGATACCACTTTAACTAGTTTGGGAAACTTGTTTTATTAATTTTCATCTTAATTGGTCTTTAATCTAAACTGCGCACCACTCAATGTGTCGCGACCAAAAAGTTCGTCCTTTTTCAAAACGACATAACTTTTTTGTTTCTTGAACGATTTTATTTTGGTCTGTGATGTCTGCTAACCCCATCCTCTGGCAATTCATGCTAAGGCATACGATTCTTCAAGTAAATTTCCTACAGGGTGATATGTAAAACGGTGAAAAATTTCAATAACTTCATCCAAGCCCCGTTTGTAAAACAATAATTTTTTTTTCGTTTTTACTTTGAAATAATGAAGTATTATGTGTTACCTTGAAACGTTTTTCAAATTTTTCGAATTGGAATCTTAGCAACGAAAATATGATTTTTTTTCCAAAAGAGTACATTTAAGGGTTTTGGTAGGCAATATATTCAGTCTTTTTAAGAACAAGAAAATAAGATGGTAAAAGATTGTTCCTTGAATAATTCTGAACAAGCGACAAGCAACAAAATTCCATTATTTTCAGAGGGGCCTAAGCAACCACTTTTTCAAAATGACATTTTGGTGAAAATTTGCGAAAACTAAACCTGAACCGATATTTACTTTCGTGACATGTTTTCTTTATAATTTTGACCTCCTGATTGTGATTCAGTTGTCAAATTTAAGTTTCAGATAAAACCAAAATCATCAAGAATTAAAATTCGAAAACAATTCCCTGTTGTTAAATGTCTTAATAAAATCCGATTGCTGTCGTGTTTCTTGCATATTTATGATGAAAATGCCATTTGGGGATTCATTTTTTGGGCGAAATTACTGCAATTTGTTTGAGTGGTTAGGATAATGTTACATAACTTACATTTACATTGCGCAGTAGTGATAACATCATTGATAAGTACCTACCTAATTTATAATAAAGTTAAATAAAAATATTTTTGTTCATTTTTGAAAATTGTATGCGTAGATATAATCATAATCAAAACTTCAACATTCAACAGAAAAATGTAACAAACAATAACAATAACACCTTTCAATATTTCGTTGGCCCTCCCCTAAGCCGTAATAATTCGTTAACCCTCCTGGGCATTCCCTCGACCAAGTTCCTTAGAAATTTCTGGGATACCCCATTTTTCCTGAATAGCATTTACCAATTCATCCAAATTTTCCATTCCTCCTTCCCTCTCTTTCATCTTCAATTTTATCCTGCTCCACACATGCTCAATAGGATTTATATCCGGAGACAAAGGTGGCCAATTCATTTTCTCAATATGGTGGTCCCTTAAATACTCATTTACGATATGTAAAAAAACAGTAAAAACCAGCAATCGGATTTTATTGACACATTTAACAGCCGGGAATTTTTTTCGAATCTTGATTCGTAGTGATTTTGGTTTTATCTAAAACTTAAATTTGACAACTGAATCACAATCAGGAGGTCAAAATTATGAAGAAAACATTTTACGAAAGTAAATATCGGTTTAGGTTTAGTTTTTGCATACTTTCACAAAAATGTCATTTTCAAAAAGTGGTCTTAGCTTAGGCCCTCTGAAAATAATGGAAGTTTGTTGCTTGTCGCTTGTTCAGAATTATTTAAGGAACAATCTTTCACCATCTTATCTTATGTTCCTGAAAAAAGACTGAGTGTATTGCCTAAAAAAAAGCCTTAAATGTACTCTTTTGAAAAAAAAAATCATATTTTCGTTGCTAAGATTCCAATTCGAAAAATTTGAAAAACGTTTAAAGGTAACACATAATACTTCATTATTTCAAAGTAAAAACGAAAAAAAAA